TTGCCCATTTCAGAATCATATACAATGTATATTATAATGTGTACCACTTACATTTTGCACTTGTTGTACTGTGTAGCAGATCCTTTAATAATATGGTTTATAATGTGATGTATATATTGTATTGATAATATTAATCTAAAAAGTAGCTAGTGACTAAAGCCGTAGATTTGTTTGCAATATTAAGTGGAAAAGTCCAAGTACCTTAATTGTTTACTAAACTACAGTACATGAGTAAATCTGAAATCACATTCCAACAATGAACTTAACTATTGTGAGAAAAAAGGGGAGACATTTTGTTAGGCGGTTAATAGCTGGAGGATTTCCCCTGTCAGCTGGTTGAGAAACATGCTCTGATAATATGTTTCAGGGCTTGGGAACTCTGAAGGTATGTTGCCTTTCCTGCTTCTATTTTCCTTTTTCAGTCTCATTCCCAAAACCATTGCCCCCTGATATTCCCAAATGCCCTGTCCAGGATGTATCATATTAAATAAAGGGTCCAAAGGGGACATTCTTGCATACTGTCCATGAAGAATTTAAAGAGGGCTTTTGGAAAAAAAGGGGTTTTCCACATTTCCTAGTGTTAAACTATAGACCAATATACCTTGTGTCACGCCCAAGTCACATAGCAGCCTGGAAGATTTGGTCGTATATCACTGACCTTGAGTGGCTGAACAATGTAGTTGTTTTTAGAACAGCTAGTACTTTGCTATCGCTTCATACCATAGGGACTGTGCTTCACCCCAAAGGATATGAAAACATCTACATGGTGGTTTACACCCTTATTTACATTTGAACCTTGTTTTAAAGCATGCAGTGCACTGATTGGTCTCTCTGTTGTTTTTCTATAGTGTATATACATGCTAGTTTCTTGACATACTGATATCAAAATAAAACTTACAACGCAACTTCATTGAACAACATGCATATTTGTGTGTGTGGAGCACATGGGAGGGGTGCAACAATTGCAGTTGGAACCATTTCTGTGGCGGCAAGGCAGCAACCCAAAGAGGATTGAGAGAATTTACACTACGTCGCAGCAGAAAGTCATGTTAGGATGTGTTATTATATTGGCTTCATATTTCCATCAGAACAAAGCACTCGTATCTCCACCATCAGATCCCCCCCAATAGCTCCAGGATGGAAGGAAAAACAGAACACCAGTGATGGCGAACAGAGGATGTTTTCCACTAAAAGCACCTTTAAAAGCAGACACACTTTATCGGTTTTATTTGTGCTCTTCACCTGCTTTGAACATTTTGAAACAGCAAAACCCCCATTATAAAAGCCTTAGCGCGACACTGGGTTTCATCATAAGAAAACAGATGGTTGTTAAAGGAATCAGTCTGTCTTTTGGGGAATATGCTTATTTGTTTTTTGGGAAAAAGTTAGATGCTTAATGTCGATAGGATAAATACAAATTGCTCACTTTACTTAGATTGCCTTTGCTTAGCATATACACAACGTACAGAGTTTAAAGATCTGTATACTCAAATATTGCACCCTTCCTCAAAAGATAGCCAGCTATTCACTGTTTTTCAGCATTCCCATTCAGATCAGGTCAAAACACAACATGTAATACAAACAACTTCTATTTCGTAGCCCAGCCCTTTGTATGTTGTGATGTCAAGAACCATGCTTAAATTGTGATTTAAAAAAAATCATTATAAGGGAATTCAGCAAGCCAACCATTTCTATCCGTGTCCTCCAAGGCCTTTTGCAGGCTGTGAATCGGACTTTGATTCTTAATTATTTTAGAAAGGGGTCAGAGTTTTTCTTTTATAGCCTAACATCTTGCCTGATACAGTACACCCCTGACTTGTACCTCACACAGAGGGCTTTCACATTCAGAGCGAAATAATTTGACAGATAAATACGCAGGAAAAAAATTACCCTGTAGCTCTCTCACGGCCTCTTTATCTGGTTGCCACCAAATGAAAATAAATAAAAGACATATCTAAAAAACCCAGCTTGAAATAGAGCAATGGAATGGCTGAGAACACAGCAATCCAGATTTTGTGATAAAGAGTATATTCTTGAAACTTGCTCAAGGCCTTGACCAAATGTCCTGATACAAATATTGAAAAAGCTCACAAGTCATTCTGTGCTCTTATTTTCCAGGTATTTGAAATTACAATCATGTGGAAAGGGCTCACACAAAAGCAAAACAACTGCTCCAACCTCCGGAAAATGGTCCACTTCTTCTGAGGACATTCACTGTTTATGCACTGCTATAGTAAGTAAGTAAGTAAGTAAAACTTTATTTATATAGCACCCTTCTCAACACGGATGTACAAAGTGCTTTACAGTACAGTACACAGGACACAATTCAAAGTACAACTATAAAATGTAGAATAAAAGGCATAAAACAGCAGCAGGTAATACTTAGGATAAAACATACGACAAAACACCAATAAAAAAGACAGCCACTATAACTCACCACCTCCGACGACCCAAAGGCCTGTCGGAACAGGTGTGTCTTTAACTGCCCCTTAAAAATCTCTATTGAGGCCGAGGTTTTTATTATCTGGGGGAGTTTGTTCCAAAGCCTTGGGGCCACCACCTCAAAGGCACGGTCACCCTTAGTCTTTAGCCTGGTTCGGGGCACCCTTAGGAGGCCTTGCTCAGAGGACCTCAGGGCCCGGGTTGTGATGTGCGGGTGGATAAGGTCATTGATGTAGGCTGGGGCTTGGCCATGGACAGCTCTATATGTGAAGACCAGTACTTTGAATTGGGTTCTGAGATGGACAGGGAGCCAGTGCAGGGCAGAAAGAATCGGAGTGATGTGGCATGTTTTTTTGGACCGAGTCAGTAATCTGGCTGCAGCATTTTGGACCTGTTGTAACCGGTGTATTGATGTTTTGTTGAGGCAGGAGAACAGAGCATTACAATAATCAAGCCGGGATGAAATAAAGGCATGGATAGCCATCTCCATTTCTGCGTATCATAAGCAGACCTCCTCTTCACTGCAGACTCTCTCTACAGTTCGTTGTGTTTCATTGCCTGATCCTTCCTATGTGTCTCTGACCTGCAGGCAGAGGCAGTGCACTTGGCAGAAACAGATGGCAGAGGGTGTTTTCCAGCACTGAAGTTTACAGGGATCAGTGTTCCATCCCACTGTCTCTGATCTGTTTCCAACTGCACATGCTCTGATAGTTCACACGGGATCAAATAATTCTGATATTAAACACTTGCTGTAACTGCACTAACAGTTTGAGGTTTTATCACTGTCTGTGCAGAGTTGAGGAAAGCGCTGTATTGTTTGTAACATTCATTGGTCCCTTAGGTCTTCTGATCAGACAATCTTGGTTGTTCCAAACAGCATTAAACAGAGTCTTAGCTACTAACTACCCTCCAAACACATTTGATCAGCTCAATTTATTAACTTTTCAAAATCTTTGGACACAGGATAAAGACTGAAAGACACTTAATTTGCATTGCCTTTACGTTTTATGTCTGTGTTTTGTTTGATCTATGTTAAAACAACATTTGTCAACAAATGATATTTTGTTTCCCTCAAATGTTCAAATGTTGATATTGTCTCAACAATCTGAAGTTAGGCTTTAGCTATCAGTGTTTTACAATAATCAACTCCAAGTTATTTACTGAGAGGCTCGTGTGTATACAGTGTGTGTATGTACTGTGATTTCTCCAAACTGTGGGAGCAGACAGAATTGTTTAATTATGTTGACTTTGCTCAACAAGAGAAAAACAACCTGATATCTGAACATAGTGTCAACAGCAGTATTTTGTTTGATTTTCCTGCAGCCCTCTTGGTACTCTGTAGTTGTATTTGCTGTTTCACATTCAGCAAACACTGCAGATATCCAATCCGTGAAAGTCAAAATCATGTTTACAGTTAATCTGTGTCACCTATCAGCAACTGAAAGTGCAGCCGGTCAACATCGATACCAAGTTATCTGGCAGACCATGTTTTAGATTCACCCTAATTCAGTTTGTTACATTATACTGGGTGGATGAAGATACATAATATCTTTGTAACACTTACTGATGGAGAAGATTCATGACTGAAGTGAACACAAAATATCACAAAAACATAATTCAGCTAAGCCTGCTACTTCACACCAGAAAGCAAAGCAAGGAAAAAAACAATCAGAAATAATGTTGTCTTTCTGAAACTAATAGACATTGTTTTAAAACAAATCAAAAGTACTGCAAACTGAATCCAGAGGTGTACACTTTTTAGACCATGCATGTGCCTGTGATATTTACAATACAAATCTGCCCAGCAGATAATGTATTTATAGCATTTATCTGGTAATGATTAGAGGCTGCAGATGCTCTGCAGCTGAATATTTGCTCCAAGAAGCAGGTGGAAGTTTTTTCATCGTCCAGGCAGCTCCACGTTTACCTCACCTCATGTTGATCCACATTCACTGCAAAACAAGTCCTGATATGAACATTAAACCACGAGGTTACCGAACACACACCCACAGTTTTATTTTACCTAGCATATGACTTTCAAATTAAATGTCCCGTTATGCAAAACAGGGACAGCCACACCTTTTTTTCCAACCAAAATGACGCCCACACTTCACTTAGAAAAGTCATGCTTAACTAATTTCACTATGGTTTACTGTTGACAACACACTACTTATGGTACTTTTCATGAGGAGATGTATAGTGTTGTAATCTTGGTAACACTAAAATGCTGTAAATGTTATCCTCACACTGTATTTCTCTCTAGACCTCCGCCCTCCTGCCGCTTCACTCAAGTTTCTCCTTGTTTTGCACACTGCAAAAAAATAACCAACCCAATCATTAATTTGAACCCGTGTTTCGAACTCGTGTAACTTATTCACCCACATTTATAAGCCACATAATAGCTGAGACAGAGATGTTTAAAACAAATAATGTGTGGAGATAAAATGACGAATTTCAGCTCGACAGAATGAGCCATACAGAAGGACATAGATTACTTTTTTACAGTGTAGGTCCTCCTGTCTGCCCCTCCTGCATCATCTGCCTCCCCGCGCTGCACCGCCGCTCCTCTCTGCCTCTCACAGTTTTCCAGAAGGACCAGCCACTGTCAGACTCCCTGCACACACTCACACACTCACACACACACCCACCCCGGCACGGACAGCTGTACAGCCGACCAACAACCATGGCTGCACGGGACAGTTCCTTTCTGCTCATCGGACTTCTGGTTCTCTTTCACACCTGGGGAGGTGAGTGCAGCAGAACATGTTTGATACGCGATACGTGCAACTCTGGCGGTTGGACTGAAGTTGGTGGCAAAAATGTTGGTGTTTTAAACTACCTTTATGTCACAATGAATCACACGAAGAGGAACACTAATGTACACCCCGAGACAGACTTTTTTTTGAATGAACCTTGTCATATTGAAATGGGACTGCATTGAGTGTGATTAAGTGAAGTAGCATAGTAGGCTACAGACGAATATACTGTGCTGAGGTATTACGACTGAACCAACTTGCAGAATTCAACTTTTCATCATTTATGTCCGGTGCGGAAACATTTTAAGAGACTTTAGGGAACTTTAGAGGTGTCAGGTCAACTGTTGCCTGCAGAGAGACTTTGCTCATACCGCCCTGCTGTAGGTGAAGCCCCTGTACACTGTGAGACTGCACAGTCCCCACTTGCTTACATTACCTTTGTGTAAAAATCTACCCACCACTGGTAGTAAACCCTTCTAACATCTGCAGCCCTATGTTGACGTGTTTATACTGTAGGTGCTAAAGTGTCAGTGTTTCCCACATCATTTGATTCTATTTGAGGGGGGGGGGGGCACCCAGTTTATTGAACACTATTTATGTAATTTTGCCATTTTGTAAATGCCTTTCCTTTGCATTGTGGGTGTTCACCTGCTGTCGGATTGCAGATTCTTAACAGTGAAGACGTTTTGGAATATTTGTTGTACCTGTTGTGAATAGTCATCATTGTTGGACACTTAAACTGTAAAACATCTTAATTGAAAGTATCCTTATGATACGTCATACTTTGCTCTATTTGCATGGTGGTAGGTTTTTAATAGTTTGCTGCATGTATTTTTAGCCACTGACATGACATCCACAGAGGTCCGGTTGTAGTCAGAGAGCTCCGTCTGCTTTCTGTCAGCACTGATCAAGTGGCTCAGGCAGCAAACTGTTTCTAACACACACACACACACACACACACACACACACACACACGCACACGCACACGCACACGCACACGCACACGCACACGCACACACACACACACACACACCCCGCCCTGAAGTCCAGCTCTCAGAGCACAGGTTTAAAGTGTGGAGCCAAAGGAAAAATTGCAGTTTGTCATCAGACTACCCCTTTAAATCAGCTGTGTGATACTACACTGTACAAAAGTTGGATGGCACCTTGTGATATGCATGATGACGTGCAGATGAATGTTTATTTTTAGAAGAGTGCATGTGATAGATTTATATGTTTGGAATGTGGGTGAGAGAGGCATGTCCCCTCAGCCATCCACGTTCCTTTCAACAGCTTTTTGTTTGTTTAAATAAGACAGTTCAATGTGCTTTTGCACCCCAAATCCTTCCTCTTATGAGCAGGACTTCCCTCCTCTCTTGCTTCCCACTCTCCCCACGTCTTTACCATTCCTTACCCATATTTGTCCTCGACAACATAAGCGTTTCCCCGCCTCGTCCATGCATTGTGCTGATCTCCTGTTAAAGTTCAGCCCGACCATTGTCCGTGACTCCTTCTGCTCTAATTAGGTCCATTTCCTGTGCTACTCCTTCTCTGGTTTTGTTCCGGCCTGGTGCCCTTCTCCTTTTATCCACATCTGCCCTGCTGTTTATTGTCTTACATTTTTACCAAATAAGCATAGATCATTGGCCAGAGGAAGACATTTTGATCTTATCAATTTTTGGCTGCAAATTACCGTTGACTATTTTTCATACATAAATCAAATATTCAGTTTAATGACCAAAAATTGCAATCACATCTTCACAGTCAGATTTATAATTGTTTTTGTCATGACTAACCAACAGCCCACAATACAAATATTGGTTTACCAGCCAATATAAGGCATTTTTCCTGAAGCATTACCTAAACAATCATCAAAATTGCTACAGATTAACTTTTTGTTTATCGATTAATCTACCAATTGGCAAAAACAAAGCCGTAATAGTGACTTTTAAATGATTATCATCTCAAGCATTTGCTGATGATGGTTAAAATCCACTCAAGACGCTCTTTTGGAACACGCCCACACCATGTATGTGCACATGCAGCACGAATGAGTGCTATTGTATCTGTACCATATCTCCGTCTCAGCCCTCTATGACATCATAGGAGAGATGGGCATGCTGTTGCACTGACGTGTTGACCCCAGATAAGGATACCATTCACTTCCTGTGACTTCAGCTAATCAAGCCGGGCCAAAGAGCAGCGTCGTTAGACCCCACTCATTTAAAGGTCATCACTTTCTGCCTGGTCTAGGCGTCATGCTTCCGTTCCATGTTCTCAAAACAACTGCTGCTCTTCAGAAGAAGCGGGCCGGTCACAGACAATAAATGCCCTTGTTGTGTTTCGACCGCAGAGCATAGAGAATTGAGGCCCAGTAATCTAACAGAGCATCAGTATAGCAGAGCGGGCTTCAAATGGAAGTATCTAAATTCAGACCTCTTTTCCGTAAGAGGTTCTGCTTTATATAAGCAGAGCCTTGAGTTTGCAAGCAAGACTATTTCAGGATTCATTTATTAATTTCTGACATAAATATGACATATTCTTCTTAGTAACCAACTAACGGAGGTAAACACTGTGCCCAGAAAACAGGTCCTTGTGTGGAGGAAGTTTGTCACAGGCACATGCTATCTTATCTTTGTCCTGAAATAAAGCCTTGAGCTGTTCCAGCGCTCTGTTTATGTGTTCCCAAGTAACAGACCTCAGGACAGCACAACGAAAAGGAGCAGTCCCACACTGTTTTCAATCTGGGCCACGACGGTGCTTCATCAATCAGGGGATGTCTTCAATTGTTTTGGTGAATTTACTTTTGTTAGGGTTAGTGTAACATAATCCAGATCTTCAGGGAAACCTGGAAAGGAAACTGTACAAAGGCCAGAGAATATCTGCGTTGTATAAAAGAATAGTGTGAGAAAAACAGGAAGTCCTAATATCTTTTATGGGTTTTAAAGCCTATGTTTTGTGGATGTATACCTCATTGAAAGACGTTGTTGTTCCCTGCTTGTGGTCTGGTGTGACCTCCGCTCTTTCATGTCTGCCAATGATGAGATCAAGTGAAATTGTGTGTGCTATTATCAGGTAATCCAGACAGTAATCACCACATGGCCACAGCTGTTGCTGTTCAGACAAATTGACATGGCTTTATAAAGGTCACTGCTACATTATTACTGTAGTAATGCCGTAACCTTATAATAGATATTGGCAGCAATGTCTAGCCCTCAGAATTAGAACATATGTATTGGTCATTACATAGATATTAGAGATGCAAAACACATACAATTAAACCAAGTTTTGTGTAAAACTTTAAAGTGTAAAGAAAGAAGAGATTCAGGCAGGTGAGTCTTATTTTCCTGCCAACAGTAGTTTGGTAATAAGCGAATGAATAGGCCTGGTTTGTGTGGGAAGGGGCAATGGAGGCTTTTTCTGGCTGATTTGTCGACAAGGATGCATGATTACATGCGTCTGTAATGGATTTGTTAGTGTTTGTGGTTGTGACTCTGGCCTTCTGAAGAAACTTGTTTATCTGCTCTATAGCACTCTCACATGCAGATTTCCAGTTCAATAAAAGCTCTTAGACTTGAACAAATCATCAATACCTTAGTGGTGTTGTTGAATGAATGGTAAGGTTTTAAGTCTAATGAAGGAAAATGTGCTGAAAGTTAAAACATATTAAAACAGAGTGTTAAACCATGAAAGCAGAAGAAATGCTGCATTTATGTGAGGTGTTTTTTCTTTTGTTGGGAAAAAGCGTCTCTCTGCTGAACTATATAATGGGTTAAGGCTTTGCACTTGGGAGCATGAATTGTAGAAGCAAAGGGTTTTCTTTTACTGTTTGATCTTCCTATTGATGTGAATAACATCCATTATCACCATTACCTGGGTCAATATAGCGAACCAGTGATGGACAGGGCGGGGGGGGCTGTGCTGGTGCAGAAAGCTTCCAGGACTTTGTGCTGTTGTCATCAGGGCCAGTTTGTGTGCGTTCAGCGAGTAGCAGAAAATTATTGTTTGTATAACGCCTTGTTGATTGATAGCCTAATCTCAACAGTTTTTGTTGCCAAAGCGTGTGGTCTCACACTTGTTAACTGCGTAAAAGGAAGGAAGGAAGTTCATTTTCTTCCTTGTTCAGTTTTACGTTATCAGAATAGGGGGAAACAAGCTTTTGTCCCAAAGAAACATTGCTTTTTTTTTTACACATTTTGGCTTGAAATGGACAAAGAACTGCAGGGGGAATGTTTTTTTTTTTTTTTACAATTGCCACTGAATAATTGCTTTCATAAAATACATTTTTTTTGTATTTGTCCAGTTTCAATGCTTCTTGCAACACAGTTTGGTTTGATAGGAAACACACCACCAGTGATGTCCAACAACAAGACTTAACACAATACCAGCCAGATATGCAATGAGGCATTTGATCTATATTAAAGAACCTTAACACACATTGGAAAGTTAAATGTAGTTGATGTTTTGCTTAATTGTTGACTGCAGGCTCAATCCATTATTTTTGGACTGTATAGAAATCACCTTTAGCTCTTTAGCACCTTTAGCTGATGAGCCAATTCTCCTCTGAGTGTTACTACTTACTGCTGCTCTCACAGCCTTTGAAGTTCCCCAATCAGACGGACAGCTGCGTACACCTGGCGCCTCCCAGGCCTGTCAAAACACACACACACACACACACACACACACACACACACACACACACACACACACACACACACACACACACACACACACACACACACACATACCATGTATACATCACTTCAGGGGACATTACATTGACTTACATGCATTTCCTGGAGACTTGTCCTAACCTTAACCATAACCAACTCATGCCTAACCCTAATCCTAACCAAGTCTTCACCCTAAAATTAATGATTCCCCTTATGGGGACCTCCAATTTGTCCCCACAAGGGAGGCGAGTCCCCACACGTGACTGTGTAAACAGATTTAGGTCCCCACAAGTATAATAATGCTAGACCACACACACACAT